GAGACGGATCACAAGATTTGAAGGTTTGAAGAGAAGCCGAGAGATATCACCACTGGGGCGACACAACTGAATGCGTGACCTCTGAGAGAGGAGGATGGAGGAGACAGGGCAGAGAAAAGGAGTGTGAAGGCCAACGGGCAGAAGTTCCCCTGCAAGGTAAATGGCAGTTTGGCGAGAACTAGCCAACCAAGTATGAACAGGTGAGTATTTGTTTCCTCTATGACAGCAGCATATGTCCCTGCCTGGTGTATTTAGGAAACATTTCCTTCTTTCCTCCCACCCCGTCACAGCAGTGTCAGCTGTAAATATAAAAACGACAGGCATGCCCAGTCACACAGGTGTACTGCCTCGTTTTTATCTATGTTCTGGGAATGGGGAATGTGAGCAAGGAGCAAAATGTTAGCAAATCACCAGCATCTTAGATGCTCTTGAGACCTTTAGGAAGGGGTGGCCCCTCACTCACAGAGCTAATCATTCCAGTTACGAAGTAAGAGACAGTGTAAAGCAAATGGCAGATGGAGGATTGAGGAAGGGTGTGATATGGAGAAAAGGAGCCATCTGCACAATTAAACAGGAGATATTCAGTGATCTGAACTGCCTAGCCAGCTGGCCCATATCAAATTGTTATAGTCAGTCGTCGTGATGTGAGTGAATCTTGACAGATCTGAAGGACAAGCTAGTAGCATCATGGACTAATTCGGGGAGGTGATCCTGCCTGGGGGTCTAAAAGGATTTGTTCCCCACAGCTTCACCCCAACTCAGCTTTAGAAGGAGCAAAGCAGTTGGGGTGGCCCAGTGATGGAGACACCACAGTCACTCCCAGCAACCTACTCCAATGGTTAAGCACTCTTATCATCAAGACGTTTCTGCTAGTATCTAAACTAAAGAAGTGCCGGTTAACTATCAAGGGTGCTATGTGGTTGCTCCACAAACAGCCATGTCCTACCGCTACCTCAGTCCCTGGAAAGTGAGCATAAATTAGGCTGTGCAGAATCCCAAAGGAAGGGCCATCCCAATGAGTCGCATAATAGCACTAATGAAGAGGCCTCGTGTCCTGTTAAATACGGTTTCTTCTACACCACAGAGTTTTGCCGGCAGAGCCGTGCTGGTTACAAGAATGAAAAAATCACATGCTTTCACCAGCACAGTGATACCAGCCAAAACCCCAATGTAGGCATGGTTATACCAGCAAGAAAGATCTTTTACCAGTATCCTTTATTCTGCTTGGGGACTGCAACTGGTATAAGCTGTGCTAGCAAAAGACTCTCCCTTTACTGGTAATTGTTGGTCCAGTGGGAGTGGAAAACTGCACAGGTTTCGTTATACTAGCAAAACTTGCCAGTGTAGGAAAGGCCCAAGACTGGAAGGGAAATCCATTTTCTCGGTCACAGCATAAGAAGCCAGATCAAGAGGATTGTACTGTAAAGGATTCCTGCAGATCACATTTTTCCAGGCTCAGACGCACTTAAATGTACACCAAAGAGGCTGAACATGTGGCATAACTGCTCAAAAAACAGCTGTCCAGAACTTGCCAATGGTTTGGGGTGTCTCAGTTGTTTTTGGGTGACCAGCTAGAATCAGCTACAAGCAGCGTAAGTCTCAGTGCCCAGTACCATCCTCTGGAAGTTAGGGTCCTGTAGGGTATCTCAACTTGAGGACCCAACTAACCCCCAAATCACCCATTCCCTTGGATATAAGTATTTAATTGCAAACTGAGAAACAAAAGCAGAACAGAAGGCAAAGAGTTCCTGATAACGCAAGCCTCCGTGACCCATTTAGACTGGCAGGCAGTGAAGGACAGGCAGGGGTCACAGCTCCTATTGGGTTGACTTTCCTATTTATTGTAAACAGGGCTTTAAAGGTGATTATGTTTGCATCTCCTCTGGTGACAAACCACAATTTTCTCCATCAACATGACTTGAGAAAAGTACTTATTATTCAGAGAGCACATAAAAACAGTGGCAGGAAAGAGCTGCAATAGAAAGCAGGGTGCAGAGACGCTGCTGTTGACAGCACTCCAAACCAGTGATTCTCAGCTAGGGTGCTGCAGCACCCTGGGGTGCCCTGAGCTCCTTTGGGGAGTGCCACCGGAGGGGTGAGGAGATAAGGTGATAAGGGCAGGGTCAGGCTTTCCCTGCCTGGCCATTCCCCTGCCCTCACTGCCCAGTTCCTCTGCAAGGGGAAAGCTCTGCAATAATTAGGTTTTGAAATGGAGTGCTGCTCAGTTCACAGAAGTTATGGGGGGTTCCTTGAGTCTAACGAGAGGTGCCTTGAGTTGAAAATAGTTGAGAACCACTACTCTAAACGCACCTGAATTTTCACAACTGTTGGATGAAAAATCTCACGTGCAGCTGCCGAGTCACGGGGAGATGGAGGGAACCCGACCTGTTCAGCTCAGCCCAAACCATGGTCTGGTGGAGGAAAGGAGGTCCAAGGAGGGAAGTGAGCAGAGATGGTCAAAGGTTTGACTCAGAGTAATGAGCAGTACTGGGTGGGCATTTTCTGAGGACACATTTTCCATCAGAAAGCACCAGTTGTTGTAAGCAAAACGTTTCACGGAAATGTGCGGGTTTTGATGAGCTTATGCTCCAGCGTTGGCGGGGGGCCATCCGAAACTTGCTGTGGAGGCCAGAGGATGGGCACCCAGGGAGCCCCAGCTCTTGGGTCTCCTCTCCAGGCTCCACAGGTGAAAGGCTGGAAGCTCGGAAAGCTCTGCCTCAAGGCAGACTATGACTCCCAGGGCTTTAAGGCTTTCTGATCCATGACATTAGACACTGCTGATACCCAGGGGGCCACATGATGCCTTTGACTCAAGAGGATTCTCTGACCTGTCCCCAACTCTGCAGGAGCAGCCTGGAGAGTCCCGCACATATGGGTTAGCAGACAAGCTCCCGGGATTCAGGGCAGCCCGAGGGAGCCTTGTAAACTGGAGCTCTGAGATGGCCAGCACCAATTCCCCACAACGGTAAATATGCCAGGGAGTAAAGTACAGACTGGGTTGAGTCCATGGATTCATTTCAAACAAGCAGCCTCAGAAGTTAACAACTTTCTCCCAGCATGGGCCAGATCAGAACCAGTGCTGAGCGCCCCAGTGCTGGGCTGCCAGCAGGGCCAGGCAGCCATTCATTTCCCTCGTGGTGGCTGCAGATCAATCCTCGTGGAAGCCCTTGTGAATGATGCTGGTGCTTCCACCCTCTTCTCCCCACTTGTTCTCTGCCTGCGTTTAGCCGGCCAAGGATCAGGAGCATTCCCGGGGTGGGGAGGGGCAGTCTGGATTTATGGCTCTGTTCTGGAGCCGCTCTCAATGCATTCCCAGGGCAGGGTCTCTCCCCCTGTTGTACCTGGTGTGGTCTCTGACGTGTGCTGGTGGCTATGACCAGAGGGAGAGGAGAATTCAGGTTCACAAGCACTTTTTGCTCTTTCTGTGCAGACAGATGAAGCGTGAGGCAGGGGGAATCAAGCCTGGAGGCCTTGGGTCTGTGCATCCAGGTCTCAGCGCCAGTCTGCTGCAGCCCGCTACCAAAGACCTCACGCAGCCGAAAACAGCAGGCTCTTGAAAACAGAAAAAGTCTATTTATCTACTGAATACCCTAGGGAGTCATTTCTGGGGCTGAAAAGCAGAGAGATTTGGTCTGCTCATGGTATTTCCACCATCCTGGGACTGCTGGAGCATGAGAAAAACAAATACGGCACTGTTTTGACTTCACAAAGGGCTCCCTGAGGCATTGAAAACCCTGTGAAAAACATAAATGCAAGTACCAAGACTGAAAGAGCCATTTCCAGATCCCCCCAAGTCAAACCCAGTGCAGATCTCGAGTGCCATTAGCCTACAGCACGAGTAACCTTCTCCAGAATCCTCTGTGTCCTCCAGCATACATCTCCATCGTCGAAGGTGAATGTGTGTCAGGGCCCTGGGCTCATCCGTGCGCCGCGGGCACTGAGCTCTGGTGGAAATTTCTCGTAACCGATGCTGCAACGTATCTGCATGATCAAATGAAAGCGAACGTTGGCGAGGTAAAACGCACGGCATCACTCTCACGAGTCATCATCCCACCTCCACCCACAAACGCCTGGGGCTCTTTACAGCTGCCAGGGCCTTCACTTGCTTTTCTGCTCCTACTCAGGCACTGGAATAAGTGGCCTGATTTCCACATGGCCTGGTTCAGCGTGATGCCGCCAGCAATTGTTTTGCCGCTCGCTGCTGATCTCACGCAGCTGCTGCTTGCTCTGTGGCTCCCCATCCGCTTGGCTTCACCGCGCTGCAACAGAGGCGAACCAACAAGCAAAGGAGCCCAGCGGCCGGCCCGAGTCTGAAGCTGACGTGAGTCACTCCAGGCCTTCAGCTCAACCGACCCCAACAACCGCCAGGCAAATGTCAGAGCAGAAAGCCAGGCCTCGGCAGGAAGGGGCTGACACTATCAGATCCATTTTTCCCAGCTGCTGCTTGCCCAGAGCAACCCGCCTCGTGCATCACTGCTGCGGTGCCCACAGGGTTAACGAGATGGACGGTCTCATCTTCACCCCGCGACTCTTGCGGTTACTAGCCTGGGAGGCTGCTGTCTGCGAGGCTTTCCTCGTGCGGAAAAGTCTTTGCCAAATCTGCGCCTTGTGAAGTCCATCCCAGGGGACTATGCCCTTGCCTGCCTCAGCACAGATCCTGCCTCCAGCACAGAAGCGAAGCTCCTCTTCCCTTCCCAAGCACATTATATAGCCCCATTCCTGCAAAGACTCATGTGTGTGCTTACCTTTGCCATGTGAACATATACAATGGTATATGTGACAGGTAACATATACAGGTAAAAGGGCTGCTGCCTGTTTCCTTTGGGAGAGAATTGGGGCTTCGGGTCCGCAGCCACATCCGTCCGCAGCAACCCTGGGGATACATAGAGATAAGCACTCCATAGTCCATCTTTCGAACCCCCAGTGTTTGGCATTTGGAGATTTGGATTTCTTGCCTATAATAGAGGCTGTTTGGCTTCACTATGCTGAGTGCTGTGTTCATCCATTTTGGGGGGGGGGGGGGGCTGAGGGAAGGCAAATAAAGAAGATAAATCATTTTGTTTCTAAGATTTTAGGGCCTACATTTTCACCCAGGCTGCAGTCACATAGCGGAAGGGTCAGTCGCTGTCTTTGTGTCGGGTTGTGGGCTGTGGGCCTGCGCCAATTAGGGTCTGGACCTGATCAGTGCAGTGCCAGTGGCCCAGTTACCATTGCCCTTCTGCAAAGACACTGGTGAGGCCTCCCCTGGAGTCCTGTGTCCAGCTTTGGGTCCCCCACATTTCAGAAAAGTTGTGGACAGTTTGGAAAGAGTCCAGTGCAAAGCAACAAGAATGAATAGGGGCCTGGGAGGCAAGACTTAAGAGGAAAGGTGGAAAGAACTGGGGTTATTTAGTCTGGAGAAGAGAAAGTTGAGGTGGGATCTGGTAATAGTCTTCAAATACGCCCAGAGAAATTATAAAGAGGATGGAAATGGACTTTCCTCTGTGGTTGTGATGGGACTAGGAGCAATGGCTTCAAAATGCAGCAGAAGAAACGTAGGTTGGAGATTAGGAAGAGCTTTCTAAATACGAGGGTGGTCAAACATTGGAATAGGCTACCTAAAGACGTTGTGAAATCCCTCAAAACGGTCAAGCGCAGGTTGGGCAGACACTTGACTGGAGTGGTCTGGTCAGGGATGATCCTGCCTTGAGCAGGCAGCTGGAGTAGATCATCTCCTGGGGTCCCTTCCTATGTTCTAGGAAAGGTGACACTTTCAGTGCATTCACTCCACACTTCCCATTGGTATCTGGAGGCTCCCAGTCACCTGGTGCATTTACGGAGGAGGGCAGCCTTTGGGTGAGGAGCTAAGTACGCTCAGGGGGTGAGCTGGGATGCAGAGACAAGGACCTGTGGCCTGCAGCTCTCTCCAAGCTGCTCCATGGTACAGATGGTGGCACAGCGGGCTGCTTTCAGGCATGAATCATACCTGGTCTTTTTTAATGTCAAAACACAACAGATTTCCCTTAACACACCAGAAGGTTACTGAAAACATTTTAATGGAGTCAAGCCTGACCCAGGCCCTCTTCCCCCCCAGTCACACACTCCAGACTTTGCAGGTGGCTTTCACCACCCAGCTCCCCGAACCAGATTCCTAGATGTGAATGGAGCTGGACTGGGATATGGACCAGCCCTTGAGTTTTGCAACATGGGTCCATCTCCGATGGTCCCTCAGCGGTTAGGTCTCAGGCTCAAAGATGGAATCATCATCAGCCATAAGTAAACCATCCAGCCCCTCTTTTACCCCGTAATACAGATCATCCTCCTCTTCCGTGCTCTGGATCACTCTTGGCCCCGACAGCTTTGAGACAGGATCTGCTACCCCTGCACAACCTCTTGGTGGGGGAATAGAAGATGGGTGGCTCTGTGCTGGGGTCACTGGGTGTTCCTGGCCTGGCTCCTGCCCTTCTCCCACAGATGAATCAATCGAGGCAAAATCTTCATAGGAAGGCAGCTCAGCACTGGGTTTCTTGGTCGGACACTGCGATGGGGGCTGATCCCTCTGTGAGCTACCACATCCCTGCAGAGACAGGTGGCTGGAGGGTGAGCCCTCGGAAGAGGAAAGCTCGGTGTCTTCCTGGAAGGAAGCCAGTGGTGCCTCACCGCGGGGCTTCTCCAGTTGGCTGAAAAAGGGCAGAGAGGTAAAGTGAAGGGCAGTGATTCCTTTGGCACCTGGTCCCTCTGCTTTTATTTCCCTGTTTTGCCTTTGGCTATGAGGTTTACAGTAAATCAAGCTGAGCAGATGCTCTGTTTTCACCAGCCTCTGAAGGGTAGGCATTGTCCCTTTAAGCAGCTGCCTTGTGTTTGGTGTCTAAAATAGTGCAAAGATATTTGTCTTCCCTCCCCAGTTTGGATCTCAGCTGCCATCAGCTGGGAGCAGCTCTGACACTGGATGAATGGGGAATTCAGCATCTTCATGACAGTGCCTTCAAAGGCACCTGCCTGTCCTATCCCATCTCCTTCGCTGCTGTGCAGCCCACCGAGGCCGTGCACAATTCGCCACATCCTCTGACAGGCTCCTTGCTGTAAACCCTAACACAGACACAACCAGAGCCTGGTGGATCCCTGCCAAAGCTCCTGGCTAAATGGAGATGTCAAAGCCCCTTTTATCAAGCAGGAGATATACATCTGCTTTGAGCCACTCCCTGACCATCCAGACGTTGGCATAGCATAACCCCATCAAGTGCGCTTTATGCCCAATGCAATGGCCTGTCTCATCTCCCCGTAACTTCAGTTGCCTGGCATAGTCTTCACCCCAGTGGTTGCATAGGGTTGCAGCTGTACTATTTAGAAAGCAGACAGCTTCTATCCCAGAGGGGGCTGCATTTCAGTCGAATGCTGTTTACTGCGTAATATATGTATAGTTTGTGCCGTCAGCTATTAAAATCTGCCCAATGATGTTTGGGATCTAAATGAATCATAGTCCTAGACTATTTTATTCAGATTTTTATGCTATGCCCAACACCAGGGCATCTTACCCCAAGGCAGTGTGTTTTAACAACAGAAAAAGAGTCAGGATTATACTTTCTCAGAAACCTGAACTTAAACTGTGGATTTACCCAGGTAACAATCCTTGCCAAATAAGATCTGCAGAATGTAAGGTAAGAAAGGTGCCCTTTCCTAATCAGACTTCTTTGAAATCATTTGCCTGGTTCCACTCCAATAAAGCCCATCTATTAGACTTCAAAGGTACCCCAAATATAACATTGACTTTAGTTGTTCAATGTTAGCTAAAAATCTGCTGACATTTTATTATGAGATCCACTCCGTTCCACAGGGATTAACAATGATAATGCTTTCAGTGAATGCCTTCACAGCAATACTATTCAATTGTTGTCCAAGACCCCAACACTGGGTAGATGGAAGAGGCTGCTGTGTAGCGCGAATCATTTTGGTGTGTCAGAGGTGGAGGGGAAGATTTCTAAGATTGGTTCTGGTTGCCTGTGAACACAAGGGACTCGATGGCCCGAATGTACTTTTCCGGCTTGGAGTAACTCCACAAAAAGCACCTGATGTGCAAGTTCATGAGATCACTCTCTCTGTTCACCTCAACAGCTCTTTTTGTGGCAAGTAGGCCCCCCGCTGCTTCTGGGTTTCCCAATCATAGAGGCTAAGCATGAAGCCAGTCACCATAAACCCTTCCCTTCTGAGCATCGGCCTCACATAATGTGCTGCTCTTAAGAGTTAATGTTCCTTTGAAATCACAGGTGGAAATCAGCATGGACGGGGAATACCCTGAATCACAGCAAGTGCTTCCTGGTGGTTATGTAGTTGCAGTCGCTCCCTGGAGGCACAGACAGAAGAGAGTTCCCACCCCAAGCAGTTTATATGTGCCTGGGGCATCCAGCAGCACTTCAGGTGTGCTCCAACTGCATCAATCCTTTCCACTACAGGTTTAGCAACCATCATCTCTCGATTGAACTTTGTCTGCAATGCTCCTATACTAACACCAACTCTAGACACCGTGGTCCACATCCAGGACAGCACCCTAAAACTACTATATATAGAAAACCCACAGACTCCCCCCCACCCCAACTATGTCCACAGGACCAGCAATGATCCTAAGTAAATCAAGAAACTGTTATCTACAGCCAGGCCTTCAGATACCATCATATCTGCTCAGAGAAGAACACCTGCATCACCCACCTGGCCAGCCTAAAATCTGCCTTTGTACTACAAGGACACTCCAGTGGAACTATACCATGCATGTGAAAGAGCTACCCAAATATCCTGAAGTAACCTGCTACCATTCAAAAAGAAAACCCCCTTGGTGGTCACCTACCACTCCACACTTGAACCAATTAAGAGAATCACCAAACAACTCCAGCCCATACAGGACAAAGGCCAGCCTTGAGACAAAAATCCCCAGCCCCTCCACGCCTGGCTTTCAAACAACTCACCAACCTTGCCCAGCTCATCATGAGAAGCAAACTCTTCGCTGCCCGACAGATATCAAGTGGAACAAGAAATGTGTAACCTGTCAGCACATCTCCGCTGCCACTATTATCAATACCCCCATAAGAAAACCACCAGAATCCATGGTTGCTACATATGCCTTTCCCAAAATGTGATATGCCCGATCCAATGCACCAAGTGCCCTCGTGGCAGCTATGTGGGTGAAACTAAACAGCAACTACACAAGAGAATGAACTCTCACAAAAAAAAATATCAAGGACGGAGACATACACTCACCATTAGGAGCACATTTCTCACAAAACAACTACTCCGTCTCTGACCTCACTATCCTCATGCTCAAGGGGAATCTACCTAACACCTTTAAAAATAAAACCTGGGAACCAAAATTCAGAAGCTGGCTGGACCCTGAGGGCCCTGCTACGTGTTCAAATTAAAGCTGGATAGAAATCAGCTATAGAGTTGTTACACGTGTTCAAGCACGTGAGTTTATAGCTGGTTGGCTCTTTTTATAGCTGGAGAGTCATTTTTGACAGGTGATAATTACTTTCATAGACTCATAGAAAACGAGGGTTGGAAGGGACCTCAGGAGGTCACATCTAGTCCAACCCCCTGCTCCACGCAGGACCAGTCCCAACTAGATCATCCCAGCCAAGGCTTTGTCGAGCCGGCTCTTAAAAACTTCCAAGGATGGGGATTTCACAACCTCTCTGGGGAACCTGTTCCAGTGTTTTACTACCCTCCTAGTGAGAAACTACTTCCTAATATCTAACCTAAACTTCCCTCACTGCAACTTGAGCCCATTGCTCCTTGTTCTGTATCTGCCCCCGCTGAGAACAGTTCAGCTCCATCCTCTTTGCAACCCCCCCTGCAGGGAGTTGAAGGCTGCTCTTAAATCCCCTCTCAGTCTTCTCTTCTCCAGACTAAATAAGCCCAGTTCCCTCTGTTTCTCCCCAGAAGTCATGTGCCCCAGCCCTCAAACCATTTTCATTGCCCTCCACTGGACTCTCTCCAATTTGTCCAAATCTGTTCTATAGTGGGGGGGAAGGCGGGCCCAGATGTGGCCTCACCAGTGCCAAGCAGAGGGGAAGAATCGCTTCCTTCATTCTGCTGACAACGCTCCTACCAATGCAGCCCAGTATGCTATTAACCTTCTTTGCAACAAAGACACACTGCTGGCTCATATTCAGTTTATTGTCCACTATAACCCCCAGGGCCTTTTTTGCAGAGCTGTTGCTTAACCAGTTGGTCTCCAGGCTGTCCTGGTGCATGGGATTGCTCTGTCCTAAGTGCAGGATTTGCACTTGTCCTTATTGAACCTCATGAGATGTCTTTTGGTCCAATCCTCCAATTTGTCGAGGTCTCTCTGAATCCTAGCCCTGCCCCCCAGTGCATCTACTGCTCCCCCAGCTTGGTGTCATCTGCAAACTTGCTGAGGGTGCACTCTATGCCATTTTCCAGATCATTGATGAAGACATTGAACAAACCCACTCATGTCCTGGCCTGGTAGCACTGACACTCATGTCCTAAGTCTGTCCTGAGTCAATCACTGTAAGCAGTACTCTTTGGACACCTCAAGGTCACCTACCGGCTGGCCATTGCTGTTTCCATCTGAGCTGCTGGGTCTTTGTAGGTTTTTCCATCGCTCCCTGAGTCTCTGTGGACTTCTGCTTTGGCTTGTACCGTGGGCTGGGTATGTGCTCCTGTCCTGAGCTCGGACCCAGACGGGGCTGGGGCACATTGAACCTCCTGGTCTTCTGCAGACCCTTCTGTTTTCATTTGGATCTGGTCATAAGATGGCAGGCTCTTCTCATAGACTTTGGCTTCCTCCTGGCTGGTGTAGGGAGTTTGGGAGCTGAGGTGGGGGAGACAGAAGGGAAGGTGTCTTATTAAATCCTGCTGTTTCTTTTCATTCTTATTTTTCTCTGGAGCGTGAAATAGGAAACGTGCCATTTGCCGAGCAAGAAACTCCTAATCTGAACCCCCAAAGCTCTGGGGAAGAGCAGCTTCAGCCCAGAGTGTCCAAGACTCACCCCACCCAAGAGGCACTGAGTCATTTGTAGGTCATATCAATTGAGCTCCTTATGACATGCCACCAAATCCTGCCAGACACGAACTTCTTCAGTTAAACTATGATGGACATTAGTAAGGCAGGCAATGGGGAGCTTGGCTGGGGAAGGATGGCAGGTTTAGCCCTTGCTCAGCAAGCCCTAATCTAGGCCCATCACAGGGACATCAAAATGGCACTTTAAGGTGTGGATTTTGCACTCCATGGGTCGTTCAGCTGGAGGACCAGGGTGGACACTGCTCTCACAGCTGGTGCCACCATTGGCAGTGCCAGCAAAAAGAGACCATGGGATCAAGAGCTGCCTGGACATGGAGCCCAAGGTACCGTCCCAGCCTGAGAGGTGCTCTTGCCAAGGGAGAACTCAAGGGAGGTTCAGCTGCTGCCAGCACTGGTCTGTGGTTAACCCTAGGCCCTCATTATTGGTCTTTGTTCATATGTCAGCAGTACTGGGCTCCATTGTGCTAAGTGCTGCACAAACATAGAGGCAGCCCTTACCCTCAAGCATCCAGGAGAGGAAGTGCTATTATCCCTAGTTGGCAGATGGGGAAGTGAGACACCCAGGGATCACAAGACTTGCCCAGGGTCACACAGAAAACCCATGGATGGCAGAGCTAGGAAATGAACCTTGATCTGAGTCCCTCCTAGCACTCCCTCTGCCAGGGTCCTACAGGGTCAGCCCACCTTCCACAACCATCCTTATTCAATCTTTAAAAAAAATGTCCAAGTGTAAGGACCAGGAGCCTGGAAGATCTCTGGGTGTTTTGCATTTCCCAGGATCAGGCCCTTCATTTTTTATCATGAGCTACTGGGTATTTTTTTCCCCACAGTTTCCTACTTTTCTTTCAAATGAACATTTTGTAGCATTGCTTTGTGCCAGTGTTCTCAGACACTGACCCTGTCCCCCGGGACGGGCAGATAATCTTGTGTACAAACCAGCACACTAATTAAAAACCAGATTGCAAACTGTTGAGTGCAGGCTGCGTCCTTGCCTCTTGCAGACATACCAGTTCTTCTCTGAAATTTCGTTTTCTATCAAAACAGCAGGCTTGTGGGACACGAACTTCTCAGCCTCAGCATCTATGGGAGCAAAGGTTACCTGGGGGAAAAGAAAAGAGGAGGAAATGGCCCTTCTGAATAGATAGAATGAATCTAAGGCATTGGAGCTGATTTCCCTTTCATACGACTATCCTTAGGTCCTTCCTACCAGTAAACACAGCCCTTTAACTGGGTTGTTTTTGCATCTTCACCGCTAGTCGTCCGGCTTTATCTAATCATTCAGGTTGCACCAACCTGCATTTCGCTCTTAGGAGAGATGCTGCCAAATCGCTTGTTCAGTGCAAATGTAAAGAACCCAAAGACTGAAATGTGAGCGCCCTGCCCTCATGCTTGGAAGCCCCTAGCACAGGGCTGGGCAAAATGCGGCCCAGGGGCCAGATGCGGCCTGCCAGGCCATTCTATCCGGCCCGCAGGGCCCCTAAAAATATAGAAAATTAATATATATCTGCCCCTTGCTGCCCATAATGTGGCCCTTGATGGCTTGCCAAAACTCAGTAAGCGGCCCTCTGCCCAAAATAATTGCCCGCCCCTGCCCTAGCAGGATGGGAGCTCAGGTACGTCCCTAGTACAACACTCAATCCCGCTGTCTCACACATGACAATGGGAGTCTTGCCTCTCAGGGCCTGTGGGGGCCTGGGACCCAAAGGACAAAGGTCTTTAGCTCATTCAAAAGGAAGCTGAGATTATGCCTGTCCCAAGCCAATTCCTGGCCTTGCAGTATCTGAAACAAAGAGCCAAGCAAGGGCTGCCAGTTTGGACAGATTCTGCTTTGTGAGGGGCTATGCAGTTCCTTAGGGGCAGCTCCATGGGCTCCATTCAAATCAGACAGAGTTTTGCCATGGACTTCAACATGCAGATGACCTCCAGGGCTTTGCCCCATCCTCCTGGAGCTATGTTTGGCACCCAGAGCCACAGGGAACGTGAGGGGTCCTTCGTTCCAGCTGGGGAGGGATGTTTTACCGAAGCATGGAGCCTGCGGTTCCAAAATAGAGATATCATCCCGGAAAGGATGGGTCCGTTTCCAGACATCAGCTTTAAACAGCTATGACCTGAAGCTGAATCCAGATCTGAATGCCATGCCCAGCCTTCCTCTCCAGGACAGGCTTTTATCTGCAAAGCTCCCAGCATTTTTTATCCAGATCCTTACTTTATAGCTAAAAACTCTTACTCCATTCCAGTAAGAACAGCCTAATCAGTGGCAAATTTCTGAAGAAGGTTCCCTGTTATAGGTCACCTATTCAGATTATGGCTCTATAACCTTCAGCCCTGCGTCTCAATACGTACTCTCATTGACTCCAGATCTATTAACAAGCCTTTCTGCATCACTGGGTCTAATGCTATAACGAATGTCTTGAGTTTCCATTGGAAAAATGTAATTTTATGGATAGCCTTGTTTCTACAGGAAACAGCAGGTTAATTGTTTTACTGCACTGCCAACATTCCTTAACAAGGAAATTTTCTCAAGGGTTTTTTAATGATCCACCTCAACCAAAGAGGCTTGAGGGTTGGCTGTGGATTCAAAAGGATCTGGGGGGAGGGCATCATTTTTTTTGCCCTAGTCCAAACTGAGTTTAACACCATTTAATATAAACCCTAAGCATCATTAATATCAGCCGTGGAGAAACAACGAGCAAACAACGCCCTTGGTGCTTGTCTCTACTCCTCCCAGCCATCGCCTGGGCCTTTCATTTACCCAGCTGTGCGTTTCTTTGAATAAAAGACCGTATCTTCCCATCTGTGAATGTCCTTCAGGAATCGATTCAAGAAGGTGCTGTTGTACAGCTACTGCTGCTGTGCCAGTCTGCCCCTTATGTTGGTGAATCGTTTCCACTCTGCAAAAAGCTATTTGACATTGCCTCTTAAGGCCAGAGGAACACTTTGGGAAGCCAGAAATAAAGATGCATGCTAACAAAAAAGATGCTTTCTCTATCTCACACCTTCAAATAGGCAGGGGGATCTTCTGGGTCTTTGGGGTGGGAGCTTTCAAAGAGTCACCTTGAACACCGAATCAAACTTTTGGTCTTGTTTTTCTCTCTGCTGATTGTTTAGCAGCAGCTCTACAAACAGCTGGGCTTATCATGGGGCGGTGAAGAGAAGAGTTTGGGCCATAAGGAGATCGACTCTTTTACATGATTCTTTCATTAGTAGCAGGGTGTCATCATACTTCCCTAGTAAAGCTGCTTCTGCTCCTACTGATGGCTGAGGATGCTTCGCTGATGGACTAGTTAAGAGAAAGACCTGTTTCCTGGCTTCACCTCACTTCTGGGGAGACTGCAGGCAGGTAGACACTCTCTTGAGCTGTCTTGGCATCCTAAAGCATTCAAGTCAAATCTGGGAGGAATCAGAGGGAGGAGAAAACAAAGGTGCTATGTTCTTAGCAAAGCAGTCATGGACACCAGGTCTAAAAGCTTTTAATCCTTTAATTCCTGTAAATACCCTTCAGGGGACAATGAGGATGTGTTAGATCTCCCTGCCCTGGGTGGTGCCTTTGGAGAAGGCAGTGTAGAAAGAAATGACTGTCTTCTCCTTCCTGCTTGACTCTGAATGCTTCAGGTATTGCTGGAAACCAGCTGCAATGTGAAGCTGGAAGTCAGCCTGACTGGCAGAGGGAACCGGGGGGCCTGCTTTGCTATGGTGCCTTCCTGAGCCCCACCGCAGGACAGTGATGTGCCGCAGGAGGAGAACAAGCCGTCAGTGAATTCATGTGGCTAGGATGTTCGCCCAAAGATCTCAAAGCACTTTGGAAGTAGCAACATGTGCATTTTACCCTTGGGGAAAATGAGGCACGGAGCCACGAAATGACGTGCCCAGTGCGACAGTAGCTGAGCTACTGGTCTTGTTCCTTAGTCATTGCATCCCCTTGCCCTTCTGCTTAAAAATGCATTAAAATAATCAGGTTGCTTTTGCTCAGCTGACAAGGAAGCATCTGGGTCCCCAGAGATGTCTGGACCCCAGTCCATAGGACCATAGGATGCAGACACAGATGAGAGGACAAGAAAAGGAAATCAGCCCTACCTTGGGGTAGCACTGACACATGCTCCAGGTGATCCCCACGGCTATGATCAGGACCCCCAGGGTGCAGAAGGTGATGTAGACCTGGGGCTTGTCTGTGCTCATGATAAACATCCCAATCATCACCAGGAAGAAGCCCAGCATTATGAGTCCATAGCGGAAAGTTTTGTCCTCGGCCATTGCAAATGCCACGGAGCAACAGGGATCAGGCGCAAAGCATGAGCTGGGACCCGTGAGCAGGGAGGCTGGAAGGAGAGATGCGAGGCAGCCCTTTGCCTGGCTCGGAGCTAGCGAGCACTCCACAGGTGAAGGAAGGAGTGGCTTTTCTAGAGCTTGCCAGAGGCTGCAAAGCAGCTGCACGTTCAGCCCCGTCCTGCCCAGGGCTGAGCCAGCCAGTTTTTAATGCGAGTGTAATGAATGCAAATATGATCCCTAAATTCACACTCCAGTGAAGCTGCCCAGCACAGCTCACTATAACCTTCCCTCGAGGCACATGCAGCCCTGGCTGTGGGAACACCTATCTGGGGAAATATGAACAGGGGAGGGAGAGATCACGGGCACGGGGGAGAGCACCAGAGCCTGGAGGTGAGGAGACACTTTGAGCATGTGCAGTGCCTAACCTGTGCCTGGCTCGAACATCCGCTTGGCTAGGGGATGTACTGGCAGGAGTGGGCAATCCCAGGCAGACAGGGTGGGCACCATGCACCTCATTTTTCACTGCTCTGCACAAGTCTCTCAGGATGCGTCTACCTGAGGGAAATGAGTGCCCTTCTGCCTAACAGGAAGCTAGAGTTGCGGGAGCCCCGTCTACTATAGGACTCTGTCTACACCAGCGACCTTCCAGCCCAATAGCCCAGAGGAGTGGTGCGGGGTCAGCCCACAGGCTGCATGGTCAGCACATGGGATCAATGCACAGTTGCCATCCCATGTGCCAGCCTGACCCTATACACCAGATGTGACCTCATGGTGGCCCAACCTCATGCACCAGATGTGGCCATGTGCTGGCCCAGCCCCACACGCCAGCTGTGGCCACACACGGCCTGAACCCGCACACCTAGATCTGGCCATGGCGTGACTTATTTTCCAGCCTAACAGGCTCCCCGTGGATCAGGAAATTTGGCAGCAGGGGTGTGGCAGCTGTGGAGAGCCTCGCGGGCTGGATGACATGGCTCTGTGAGCCAGATGTGGCGTGCAGGCTGGAGATGGAGCACCACTGGTCTATGCTAACTACCAGTAGTCATGACAGCCGTGCCGAAAACCAGGTACTGATTTTCCTAATGTAGAAAGGGGGTCATTAGATGAATGACCCGTGTCCTACTTCACTGAGCTCTGCAGGTATCAACGTGATGCCGGGCGCTGTGGTAACAGTCATCGGACCAGTAGAAAAGAAGAGCTTGCTGTGTCCAGAAATGTCCGGTAGCACCAGCTCTGCAAAATGTCTTGTCCCGAGAACAAAGTGCTGATGATTTATTTTTTGTGTCACAGCAAGACCCAGAGGTCCCATTCTAAGGATCAGGCCCCACTGTGCTCGGTGCTGTACAGATCAAGAATGAAGAACCGCGTCCTTGTCTGAAGGAGAGCTCACAATCAGGCAGGATGCGACAGGCAATTGCAAACCCCGTTCCCTTCTCACAAAGCGGAAAGGTCACACACAGCGCAGAGCAGAGCAAAGGAACTTATACTGCTGTCTATGGGGGAGTCACCAGGAGCATCTCCCTGGGGCATTCATGGGGTTTCGTGTTGCCCTGATTCCTTGCAGACCATTTAGGGAAACACAGAAAGATTTTGTTTTCTCACTTCTTGTTAAAATCTCCCTTGAAAAAAAAATGTTTGGGTTTTCTATGCAAAGAAAAATGTGAAAGAACGGTGGTTTTTCAAACAACCCTTTAGGTTTTAAAAGTCACTTTTTGGTCAAAGCTTTCAAAGTTCACTGAGGTTTTATATTGGGCAATTACACTGGAAAAAAATTCAGATTCCCAGATTTTTTTTAGAATAAACAAGACGGTGTAGTGAAAATGAAGTCTCCCTGCAGCGTGGGGGTTGGGAGGGAATGCCATTTTTTGCTGAAGTTATTTTTCAGTGGAATATGTTGTAGTCCGCTCCAGTGACGTGTCCTGTCGAGATGCTCACAGTCCCGCAGGGAGCGGTCATGCAGCCCTGGGGGGAAGGGACTCAGTCTGCTCTCTCTTTGTAGCTGCTTATCTCTTGCTCCCTGTGCTCTGGGTGCTCGCTGCTCATGAACCCAGCGGCCAGTGAACATCATCTCCCTGCTCTTCAGGAGGCAGAATTGCTGCTGCCTCGCCGCACTTCTTTAAGGCCTAGGCATTAGGCTGTGGGGCCGGGGAAGGAAGACTTGCCCTGCAGCTGCAGCTGCTGTTCTCGGCGTGCAGAACAGCTCACTCGCCAGGGTTGATTCAAACATCTGACTTGACACGAGGTGTTGTCAGACTTGCCCCCTCCTTAGAAGAGACTGAGAAGTGGAGCAAAGTGGAGGTGGAGGGGGATGCAATCCAGGGACTGGGAAGCAAGGAGCAGAGCGGGGGTGGGAGCTGAGAGACACTAGCTAGCTAGCTCCTACCCCTAGCTCCTGCCCACTAAGGAGGTTTTGCTAGGGGCTGGGTGGACAGTGACTGTTGTCAAAGCCCATGCTCCTCTTTAGCAAGGAGATCAGGTCAAGTTTGCTGGTTTTGAAAATGGAGTCCTCCTTGGGCCCAGGGGCAAACGGCTTATGTGATAAGGCAGACAGCTGTGCACACAGCTGCATAGGGGTAGGCAAACCCTCCCAACCCAGCTAGTTCCCTAGGGTACTCAGATCCTGTGGAGAGGGGAGCTACTTGTAGAGATAACGGTTAGACTTTGGAGACAGTCCCTTACAAGGGAATGTCTTATCACGTGAGGAATTTGACCATGATCCTTGGCGAGTAAAGAGAAATCCAGATGGAGGCAGCCACATGGTCCATGCTAGAGGAGCCCCGCGCTGTCGAATCATTAAAAGTCTGTTCTCTTACTCATTCATAGTTGCCTTATTCACTGTGAGACCTAAATCATCACGTGGTGTCAGCAGTGGTGAATGGGGAAGATTGGATGGATCTGCAGTGTTATCCCTAGCAGAAAGCTGGTAATTCAGGGCCTGGAAGCTGCATGCAGCAAGGAACAAAGGCCTCTGCAAGTACAGTCCCCTCTCTGCAAGGCAGAAGTGTAACCAGCTCAGAGACGCAGTTAAACATGGATGTGTTACACACCCCTTCTTGCCTTTCATTGTCATGCAATATAGCTGAGAAGTGGAGAAGAATAATGGACAGCTGCGGATATGCTTGGATCTCAAAAACTATACATATGATTTATGAACATATCCCAGGTGTAGACACCTCTATGGATTTCATAGACATTCGGGCTGGAAGGGACCCCGGAGGATCATCGAATCCAGCCCCTGTCCCATGGGCAGGAAGTCAGTAGGGATCATAGGATCCCAGCAAGATAAGCATCCAAATGTGTCTTGAAGGCATCCAAAGTGGGTGCTTGAACCACCTCTGGTGGCAGGCTATTCCAAACCCTGGGGACTCGGACAGTAAAGTTCTTCCTTATGTCCAGCCTGAATCAGTCGCGGCGGAGTAGGTGACCTTTTGATCTTGTCATCCCTTGGGGTGCTCTGGTGAAGAGACGTTCCCCCAGATCCTGATGAACACCCCTGATAAACTTATAGGTGGCCACCAGATCACCCCTGAGCCTGCGCTTTTCTAGGCTGAAGAGTCCCAGGGCGCTCAGCCTCTCATCATAAGGTCTGTTTTCCTGACCTCTGATCATGCGCGTGGCTCTCCTCTGCACCCTCTCAAGCTTCTCCACATCCTTTTTTAATTGTGGGGCCCAAAACTGGACGCAGTACTCCAGCTGCGGCCTCACCAAGGCCGAGTACAAGGGGAGAATGACGTCCCAGGATTTGCTTGAGAAGCATCTATGGATGCAAGCCAGTGTTTTGGTCGCTTTACTAGCCGCAGCATCGCACTGCAGGCTCATGTTCATCTTGTGGTCAATGATGACCCCCAAGTCTCTTTCATCTGTATTGCTAACCAGCGTAGTACTACTGAGCCTATAAGGATGCTGCAGGTTTTTTCTCCCAAGGTGGAGAACCTTGCATTTTTTGGTGTTGAACACCATCAGGTTCTCATCCGCCCACTTCATGAGCCTGTCAAGATCTGCCTGGATCGCCCTCCTGTGCTCAGGTGTGGATGCTTTACCACAGAGTTTGGTGTTGTTGGCAAACTTGGCCAGTCCACTTCTGACTCCAATGTCCACATTATTGATGAAGATGTTAAATAGTATAAGCCATAGGACAGAGCCTTGAGGGACCCCACTGGTCACCATGCACCACCACCGTGCACAGTGACTTCCATCAACCACCACCCTCTGATCGTGGTGAGGTTGAGGCTGCAGTTAGCTGGTTTTGCCAAGAGGTGATCATGGGATACCAGATGGAAGGCTTTTTTAAAATCAAGCTATCTGACAAGTCAAGCTCTTCCCCCTTGTCCAGGTGATTGGTCACCTGGTCGTAAAAGGAAATGAGATTGGTCAAGCAAGACCTACCCGCAACAAACCCATGCTGGCTATCCCTCAGGATGTTGCCATCGGCCAGTCTATTAAGAACAGCCTCTTTGATAATCTTTTCCAAGACCTTCCCCAGGATAGAGGTCAGGCTGATGGACCTATAGTTTGCCAGATCTACTTTCCTCCCTTTCTTGAAGATTGACACCACATTGGCCTTCTTCCAGTCTTCGGGCACTACACCAGAGCACCAGGAGCTCTTGAAGATCCATACCAGGGGCTGAGCTATGATGCTCGCCAGCTCCTTGAGTACCCTTGGGTGTAAACCGTCAGGGCCAGCTGACTTGAAGGTATCCAGCCTCTCAAAGTGTTCCTTCATGAGGTCAGCTTCGATGGAGGGTAAGGAATCTCCCTCACCCAGGCCTCCCTGACCCACAGCGGGCAGAGGCGTCCTATGGGACGGGTGAAAACCTAATGCAAAGGACCCATTTAGCAAGTTTGCATTTTCCTGGGCATCGGTTGTCAGTTGTCGCGTCTGGTTTAGCAGAGGTCCAGTGTTGCCCTTGCTTTTCCTCCGGCTCCCCACATACCTAAAAAAGGACTTTTTATTGTCCTTGATATTTGTAGCTAGCTGGAGTTCTGTCGCAGCCTTGGCTTTCCTGGTTTGCTCCCTGCAGGTCCAGA